GCGCACCGCCTACATTCCGTCCACGTCGTCCCATCTCTCTCTGCCCTGTCCCCTCCTGAAACGCTCGGGCTGCCTCCCTCGTCCTTTAAGTCCCACCCCAAGTGTAAACAGTACAGGGAGCCCCCCTAAACAATGTGAACCGTGTCAGGACACCCTGCACCACATCTCCTGCTACGCTTTCCAGAGTGCATAGATCCATGTTTGAATGCAGTTCTCAGGACTTCCTGAGCCTCCTGAATGCAAACTGCATTTTGACTCCTTGTTTAATCCCCAGAAAACAGCACAGCACAGAGAACATCACCACTTACTAAATGCTTGGTACATGAGTACGTGGAATCATAAACACTGAGCCACTTCAGAGTCACCACCGAGAACGTAAAGACCTTTACACCCCCCCGCCCCCCGGAGGATCACTCACCGGAACTCCCTGTAGATGCTGTTAAAGGCAAGAGCTGCCCCCAGCCTCCTGAAGGCACTGGGGTGAAGTGCAAAGCTGTACAGTCGCTTGAAAAGTGACTTGGTATTTACTGGACTGCTCTCCTGCTGCTGTGGTGTTGTCTGCTTAATGGACCACCTGAGGAATTCGTGGACACATCGGCCACAGAAATCTCTTAAAGTGCTGTCAACCGGGTCCACAATTCCATCCTGAAACAAAGCATAAAATGACAACTGAGTGAATATCCCGGTCTGCCTCTGAGCACAAGTGGCACATGTTACGAACACTGCTTCAGAGCCGCTCAGGAAAAGCGGGCGCCAGTCAAAGCAACCTGTCTAGAGCCTGGCCTAACAGCCAGCTCCTTCCGACACAGCAGAGACGCTTCCGTCTGAACACATTAAGAAACTGAAAAATCCGTGAAAAAAGGAAGAATACTTTAATTACAAACCACAAAGCAGCCTTTTCCTGAGAAACACAGCTGACTGCACCCTGAGAACGCAGGCTGCTGCCACCTCGTAGCAGCCTTCTCACTGAGGGCAGAGGCTCACGTCCTTGCCGGCCCGGGGAAGCTGTGACGCCAGAGACAAGCCACGCAGAGACGTGGTGGACTCTCACAGAGCTGCTCCACGGGGGCCCGTCCCTCAACACCTGGAAAATGGCTAAGGAAATGTGGATGTTTCTGTTTCCCTCTGAGATGCACGAAGGAGAAGTTTAACCGGACAAGCACAGAGACACTGAAACGGGGGTTCTGACACCCCCAAACCTCTGCAGACAGTGCTCACCGGGACTCAGGAAGGGGGCAGAACCCCGGAACCAGGGGGCGGTGCTGGGTGCCCCTCGGAGCAGTGGCACAGATGTGGGAATCCGGCCCGCGGGGACTGCGGCCACGCCGAGCGTCACACCAGCCCTCGCTTCTCCGCCTTTCTTTCTGCACCTGTCCTGTTTTACACCATCTTTCACCCGACTCCCTGTGAAGTCCTGACTTAAGCTGCCTTCAAGGATCAAAAGCAGAATGGAAACATTAGACGAAATCCATCTGAATGAAATAAGCTGCAAGTTAAATTTAATTAAACGTATCTGTCCCAGGCAGGAGTCACTAGCAGACACTGCAGGGGATTAAACCGCAGATGCAATCATGTCACCATCCTGATTTAAAATGTTCAGCAGCGACCACGGCCCAGAGGTGGCATCCAGCGAGGGGTTTCCGAGAGCAGTAGGACTGTTCACAACCACACACCACTGGGATGCCCAGGACCCACCCGGCAAGCCAGACAGGTGGATGGCAGTGCTACGTGCAGCGTCCTGATGCCCAGACTGACACATCTCATCCGAGCTGAACAGAAAGTGAGACACTGATTCCAGTGGGAACCAGCCTGCAAAAAGATGGAATTAAAGGATGTTTGTTTGGACAAACATGCTATATTTTCCACTGGGGGTTTTGATTCTGCATGCGATAGACAACAAACAAAATTATAGGTTGAAATAACAGCTAAAATCATTTAAGAGGACATTTAAAGAAATCAAATGCAAAGTTATTCCCACAGGTTCAGAAAACTAAAATGTGTGAAAACATAGGAAGGCCCTGGCTGACCCCACTGCTCCTGCCCTCAGTGTACCTGCGACCAGTCCTAACAGTTCTAGGTCTGAAATCTCAGAATCGTTCTATGCAGAGAGCTGCTATTTCTAGGGGCTGTTAGTTAACTGAATCAGAATGCAGGAGAAAACTGCATGAGCTCAAAAAATTCCCTTTAATCCGAACTATTACACTACAGATAGTAAAAAAAAAAAAAGAGGATACTGCAACTCCTAGAAGTCTAAGAACATTCTCATTCCCCTTTCACCCTCCACACCCGCACACACACACACACACACACTGCCTTAATGCAGGTGAAGCCTGTCAAACCTACAGCCATCTCCCCAAATAGGAGAGCAAAACAAAAAAAAAGTGAATTTTTGCTTGCAGATATTTAAAAGCATCACTTAAGTAATGAAATTCGGCATTTTGTTCATTAAAATGCGGTCCCACAAATGCAGTTTGGTGCAGCCACTGTGGAAAACAGTATGGAGAGTCCTCAAAAGACTAGGAATAGACTTACCATATGACCCAGCAATCCCGCTCCTGGGCATATATCCAGAAGGAACCCTACTTCAGGATGACACCTGCACCCCAATGTTCATAACAGCACTATTTACAATAGCCAAGACATGGAAACAACCTAAATGCCCATCAACAGAGGACTGGATAAAGAAGATGCAGCATATTTATACAATGGAATACTACTCAGCCATGAAAACCGACAACATAATGCCATTTGCAGCAACATGGATGCTCCTGGAGAATGTCATTCTAAGTGAAGTAAGCCAGAAAGAGAAAGAAAAATACCATATGAGTTCGCTCATATGTGGAATCTAAAAAAAAAAAGAACATAAATACAAAACATAAACAGATTCATAGACATAGAATACAAGCTTGTCGTTGCCAAGGGGGGCAGAGGGTGGGAAGGGACAGACTGGGATTTCAAAATGTAGAATAGATAAACAAGATTATACTGTATAGCACAGGGAAATACATACAAGATCTACAAGATCTTGCGGTAGCTCACAGCGAAAAAAATGTGACAATGAATGTATGTATATTCCTGTATAACTGAAAAAGTGTGTGGGTTCTACAGTGGAATTTGACACAACATTGTAAAACGACCATAACTCAATAAAAAAATGTTTAAAAAAAAATGGCCCCACAGATTCTCTACAAGAGAGGACACAGCCCCGCCAAGTGTTCCATCTTGACCCCTGACAGTGAACTTCCGCTCAAGCTGAGTGTGGGTCCAGTAGGACCAACATTACTCACCAGGATCGCTTCCAGCAAGGCAACAGTATCCTGACTCTCAAATTTCTTGTTGTTGGTGAACCAGTGAATCAACTGCATAACCAGAGGTTCAAACAGCTGTCTCGTCACCTGAAGGAACACAACCATCAGAATCTATTTTCTCCACGTTAACTTCATATTGAACAGAGTTCCACTACACACACGGCAGGAGCAAAATTCAGCGGTAACACCACAGTGGTGTCTCTAGTTAGATTCCGTGACGAACACGTTCCAACTTCTTTCCCTCCCGGGAGTCCAGCAAAGAAAGATATGCATACAAAACCGCCGGTTCCTCTAATGAGGAGGATAGCGGGGCAAGCGTGCTGGCTGAGACACTCGTCCTGATGAATTCGATCCTGAATGTGTGCAGGAGGCCTCCAGGACCACAGGCATCATCGTTACTCAACTATGCCCCAATTACACCCTGTGGTGACAACCAAAGCCAGGTCACCATCCACTGCAGACCTCAGAGCTGTCCTGCAGACAGGACACACAGAAGAGGCACATCTCCTCCCCCTGCCGAAAGGAGGGAGAAAGAGCGCTACTCCTTGGAGATTAGATGGAAGGGACTCTGGGCTCCCACTCCAACCCTCCCAAATGCGCACAGTCCCTCCAGGGCCCAGAGCGCACCGGGGGTCTCTGGCTTTACCACCCACCACGTCTCTCAGGCCTGGACAGAAGTCTGTTATCCTTTTGGACAAGAGGAATTACCTGGGACAAACGGTTACGCAGCTAATCCTCTTCTCCAGGGATAATAAAGCATTCCCAGCACAGCTGAAGCAGATCCCCCACCTGTATGCCCCACACATCTCTCAGTCTCATGCACACGGGCCTCCAGGATCCCCGGGAAACCCAGGGCATTCACATCCCCCCTGGCACCGAGCTCACCCACATCGTGACGACACCAGGTCAACAACCACGTGAAGCGTATCGGAGCTCACACTAAGCAAGAGTCCTCTTGCAGCTGGATCCTTCTCTCCAAAAAGTCTTTCTAAACTTTGAAGCAATTTTTAGACTTAAAGTGAAAGGAAGGGCCTTACCTTTCAGTTTGGAAGTTTAGCCTGGTCTTAAAGCATCACTTTTTTTCCCCAAAGGAATTAAACTTTTTATTCCTACTACATAAATTATATATATGTACACACACACCCTCTAGAAATGACAGGAAGTGGAGAAAACCATCAACATTCCTACGTCCAAAGGGAACCACTGTTAACACTCAGAATCACTGTTAGCTTCCAGTATATTTCATTTGTGCACATTTAAATACATGCATGCACATATGTGTAAAAATAAACGTACACTTTTGTAACCTCTTAACTTTGAGTACTTCTCATATGAACACAAAGGCTCTATCAGCATGCTCATCAGCTGCCTGGTACCTCGCGTATGGATACACCATGATCCAGTCACCAGGATCCTGTCAGAAACGCAGGCACCCCTAGTTTACGAGTGTCTCACACACACCACTCTGAGCTCCCCCTCCCTGGACAAGGGCTGCTGCCCCCAAGCCTCCACGGCCCACACTGCCATCTGCCAGGACGCACAGGCCTTTCTCCACGTGCCTGGAAACACCAAACACCGCCAATGTTTAATGTATTTGACAGCAGCTGCAAACGGTGTCATCTGAATTTGAACTTCCCTACTTCCTAAAAAGGTTGAATAACTGAAACGTATTTCTTGGCCATATGTCTTCCCTGTTCATCAACTACCTGTTTTTGTTCTTTACCCATTTGCCCATTTTAAAAATCTTATCTTCAGTGAAATGTGACAAAAATTTTCCCCACATTATGTGTATGTCAAAATTGTGGGGTTTGTGCCATTTGGTAGTTTTAAACACTTATAAAGTCAAAACTATCAATACACTAACATTTTTCTTCTATATATCTGCCTCCAATATCTTGTTTGAAAATTTCCCTTTCTGCAAAACTTTATGAAAGACACCTATGATGTAATAGCAACCAAATCCACGCAAGCAGCAGAAACCACATTTTGTACATGAAAGAAAGTGCTTCTGAGTGTCATGATCCTGCTTTTTATCTACCAAACAGTACATGCACACTTGTGAAAACGTGTTTTGCAAAGATCTAGGATACGCTCGGCTCTCTCTGCAGAGGGCGAAGTGGCTCTCCCCAGGGGGAAGAAAGAGGCTTCACTTTCACCACTGCGTTTCCGCATTAATTAGCACAGCTCATCAGTTAAAAAGACGGTCCCAAACCAGACGGACACGCCGGAATTCACCACATTGTAATATCTTTATAGTTGTTTTTCCTACCAAATCTTTCTAACTTGAAATTAATTTTTCCTATGCTAGGCAACTGCACTAATAGTATTTATTAAACGATCCCTTTCTCACTAACTTAAAAAGCCCCTTCGGCGGCCACATGTAGTTTTTATGTACACAGCTGGTCCCCGTCCCAACTGTCAGCCTCTTCCAGCGACACATCTGTGCACCAGTTCAGCCCCATTATGACCAACACGGCTTCGTAACATCTGTCGGGGCAACTCCCTTCAGCTCTCTCCACTTTCAAAACTGTTCTCAGTTAGGCTCCAGCAATTATTCTTTCAGATTACTCTGCACGTTCAAAATGAAATTAATCCCAGGCTTTTTGCTGGTACAACACCAGACCTACTGAGTTACTTGGGAAAAGCCAACTCTTCAGGTGCACAGCGTATTCATCTCATCCTGGTGAGGCGTGCGTGTGCCCGGCACACTGAAGCTCACTTCCCGGCGCTTTATTGCTACACTCTCAATGCTGTTAACGAATGGAATACTGTCGACTGTATGTGTTCTCTGGTGGTCGACACTAGCAAGGAGGCATGTGAGAGCTCTGGCACGCTAGAGCCTGTTTTGTAATTCATCAGCCTTACCCTTTATTAATACTTAGATTTACCAGTTAATACTCTGAGCTTTCCAGATTTTTAAAAAATTATAGTCAAAATACTTTTTCCTTCCTTTCTAACGTCCTGGCCCTCAGGGACCTCAGGGCCTGATGAGAGGCCTGGAGACTGACCAGTGTAGGCAGCTGAGTAAACACGTAGGCGGCCGTTCTGAGCATCCACTCCGCGCAGGCGCTGCTCCGAGGGGCTGGAGGTGCCTGCGACCAGCCCACCCCATCCCTCCCCAAAGCCCAAGGCAGCTCCAGTGCTGCAGGGCTGGGATGACTGGCTGTGACATTCACGTAACTGCTCTTTATCATTTTAAAGATAAAACCAAACTATTCCTGGTTCACCAAAACAAATGCCTTTTTGGCTTACACAGAGAGGATCACTGCTTCTGAAATCTGTTTCTGTGACACATTTCCAGTGTCACCCCCAAATACTGTTTAATCACGTTCATCTTAATACACTGCTGGGTTGTATTCACTCCTAGCCACACTGAGGAATTTCTCATTTGCATTTTTAAACGAATTTTGTGTTAGATTTCTTTTTCGCATGTGCACCCTGATATCAGGGTTCTGCTAGCCTCATGAAATAAAGTGAGAATTTGATTTTTCCTGGGTCACGGCAGGAATGGAGAATTTATTCCACAAAGTTTCGAGGAAGAGGTGACTTGCCAACACTCCCCAACTCCTCCCTGACGCTGGCCCTGCTCTCCCCTCTCCTTCACTCCTGGCGGACCGTGAGCCCCGATGTGATAGGACCCACAGCAAACTCAGCTTTGGATGCTCAACTCTCAAAAACTTTATCAACAACAGTGATATTTCCCCAAACTCTGTGGCACATATTCAAAAACCGCCAGGCACTTTGAAGAGTCCCAACCCCAGGTCCGGTCCCTGAGGGGCAGCAGCCAGGCGGCAGGGGTTAAAGATCCCCAGTGGTTCCCAAGTGCAGCCATGAGGAGCTTGAACCAGACTTTTTTTTTTCCCTATGTTTTGCAACTGTTTCAAATTCAAAACCATGCACTCACCTGATCGACGTCGCACGCCAGTCGGAGCAGCACAGGAAAGGTGCGCTTGTACAGCTGGTACAGCGGAGGGGGGCCCGGGCCGCCGTCAGGCATCTGCGTGGCTTTTCCCAGCATGAACACGACCGTGCTGTGCAGCAGCTCACAGGCCGCGACCTGAAACAGGCCAGGGGCCCAACAAGCCTGAGTCGTCAACGCTCTCTCCATGCAGCCCCTCACAGAGAAACCCCGCGCAGCCAGTGCAACACGCTGAAGCAGCACTTCTGTGCACTCTACTCTGTGTCCAGAAGGTGCGAGTGGAGATCTGGGGGATTTACACGCCGGGACCAGGGTGGTCCCGGGTCCCTCCAGCTGCACTGCAGAGCTCCGCTCACCAGTCAGCGCGCTCTCGACCACCACTTCTAGTAACTTTACTTTTAAAGCACAAACTTTGGAAACACACAAACTAATACACAAACCTGAGACTACCTGTTTCTCATCTCAGGCTGAGGAGATAATAGAGCACAGACTAAAAGTCACCTTTAGACGCCCTTTGCCCTGTGTCCTCTCCTACGAAGGGCTTTGGTACATCATTGCTCCTCCAGCTGACTCCCTATTGGGACAACCTGCGTTTCGCTCCCATTTATCAACGACACAGACTTCTGATAACAGAATGGTTTCTAATTACTAGACTACACAGAATCCAGAAGTGACGAAGTACGTATCCATGCGTCCTAACGACACATCTCACAAACAGACTCTGACTAGTGAGTGAGGAGGCACAGAAGTACCTTGGTTTGTCTGTCTCCAGCCGAGAGGGCCAGTTCCGTGACTCGAGGCAGGAACAGGTCCAGGTGGACGACAGGCTTCATGTCTGGGAAGGGCACCGCGAAGCTGAGTCTCTTCTCTCGGTCCCACGCCACACACTTCTTCATCACTTCATCGGAGGACGCAGCTGTTCAGAGAGACCGGAAGCGCGTTTTCACTCAGCTGTTAGGGTCACTAGTGAAACCGGCCCTCAGAAAGGCACTGACCCGAAGTGGCCACCACACACTACCCCCGAATCTGACTTAAACTAAAATCACTCCTAGACAAGTCTAACAGTCTGGAATGTTTAATTTCTAAGTTCAGTAAAAGCTGCTTATTCTGTGGAAAATGAAAGATGAACAATATTTTAAGTAAACACCTCTTTATAACACTTGTTTTCCTAATAGAGGTTCTAAGTTCCTAAATGCCAAAAGTGACCAGTCCACTTTCTGTGAAAGTTTAAAAATAAAAGTACAGATAAATTTTTACTAATCAAAAATGGTGATTCCAATCAAAAGCAATCTAAAAATATCCAAGTATTAAGAATGCAAGATATAAAAAAGATAACTTTGAATTCCTGACACAACGATTAATTAATATTAGAGTGTCGTTAGATTCTGTTTCAAAAAATGAGAGACTCACAGACACAGAAAATAAACTATGGTTACCAAAGAGGAAAGAGGGGTGAGGGAGGGCTAAATCAGGAGTTTGGGATTAGCAGATACAAACTACTATATATAAAAAAGATAAACAACAGGGACCCACTGTACAGCACAGGGAACTGTATTCAGTATCTTATAATAACCTATAATGGACAAGAATCTGAAAAAGAATAGATACACGTATGTGTGTATAACTGAATCACTCTGCTGTTCACCTGAAACTAACACATTATAGACAACTGTACTGCAATTAAAAATTCAAAAAACAAAACCAAAACAAAATTTTTAAAACTAACTTTAATAAATGCTTGTCCTTGTACAGGGGAAAATGTTATCAGGGACTAGAAAGCTTCCACATCGTGTCTAACGATGAGGTAAGGAACAGCCGCCAGCCTCAGCAGGAGGTTCTGGCGGAGCGCTCGTAACGCAAACACTGCTTTGCCATTCGACTACTGCTGATGAGGATGCCACTGGAAAGTCAAGACGTGCGACTCCAGATTGACGAGGACAGCAGGCAGCATCACTGCGCACAGGCTGACCTGTGTCGGGGGCCGCGCTCCGACAGCGGAAACGTGCCGCCATCTCACTCCCACTGCACGCACCCCTCTCTCCTCTCCTGCTCACAACAATCCCCAAAAGAATGCAGTGAGCACCACACTTATTTTATATGTTTTTGTGTTCTCATTTATTTTGTAAACTCATTTCCAGTTTAGTTATATTGCCAGCTTTGCTATGATTTATGGTTACAACTTCTTTATTTTAGATATATATTTCTATCTGCTTGAAAATGCTTTGATTAATGTAGACTGATACATTTCAATACTAAAATGCTATTTTCTTGGCAAAAAAAGGTTAATGTATGTAAAGTGTTTACCACAGCGTCTGCCAAATGATATTCAATAACTGTTAAAAGTTGCTATAACAATGAAGAGTTTCTGAAGATTAAATTAAAAACTGCCTACTGGCACATAACAGGTACTTGGTAAAAAAAAAAAATTAAGGAAAAGACGCTAGAGCACTCCCATGAGCTGACAGCACTGTGGCGTGTGGACGGACCGCGCAGGCTGCAGGGCACAGTCAAAGCGTTCCTCTAGGCAAAATATGACTCTCTGTAATCTTACTTGAAAACACAAACATGAGAATATGCATCCAAATGGCAGTACAAATACGTCTACAGGGGTCAACTTATTCTCAGGAAAGGTTACCTGTTATGAGGTTTTTATTTATTTGTCCTCCGAGACAGCCGAGCATTTGTACGACTCTAACCCTTATCTCTTCTGAGGACAGTGCTTCATTCTGCAAAGGGAACAAAAGCACACACATGCTGACGACCGAGTTAAAAATCACAGTCATGACACGAAAGAAAACGACTCAGGATCCTACTGCTGACGCCTCCCAAGGGCTCCTCACACCCTGCATGGCACTGCGGCTAACTCGGCTGCAAATTCATGAGAGGAAGCCGCACCTCTTCCAGCAGCGCACTCAGACATCTGTTTCCTAGGCCAGCGGTTCCAAGTTTTGGCAGAACGCTTTCAAAAATACTGAGGGCCCCAGAAAGCTTTTGTTTAGGAGGGTTGTATTTACGAGTATTTGGCACATTAGGAGTGAAAACTTAGATGTTAATAGTTATTTTATTAAAAAATATTAAATCCGTTACATGTTACAAATGACGTACTTTTAGGAAAAGTAACTTATTTCCCGAAGAAACAACCTCAGGCAAGCGGCAGCTTCACAATTTCACACCTGTGACGGACCTGTGGCCTACGCTGGGCTGCAGCTGGAAAAGGAGTGTCTTAATTGTCTTTCTAGGTAACCGTGGTTTCTCCAACACAGCTCCCGGCCTGAACAAGCAGCAGAGCCCGAAAGCTCAGTTACGGTGCAGTCAGTGCATCTGTGCAGTCTACTGCGTCAGGACCCACCGGTCTGTCTCGCACTGAGCGGGTCTCCACCCACGTGTGACCAGGGGACATGACGTCCTGCTCGTCTCAACACCCTGCTTCACCAGGTTACGCGGCTTCTCCAGGTGCAGCCACGCTTCAGTGTCCGTGCGGAAAGTCACACCTGGTAAGCACTGAGATGCTGTTAAGCGCGTGGTGAGCATCACAGGATTTTAATTTCCATGTAAAAGCCTTAATTTTACCACTGGCAACAAATGTTCTCAAATGTTTTCTTTCAAGTGAGGCTCACTCAAGCCCTTTATTTTACAGAAAACGTCTGCCAGGTCCTGAACAGCGGGCATCTATCTGACTTCCCATAACAAGAGTGATGCTGAGGAAAAGGGCTGCCAGGCTCCCGGCTCAGAGCACCCCAAGCACAGCACCTCCTGCTCCGTCACGTTACGTAGGAGGTGCAGACGCCTGCGCTCCGGGTCCCAGGTTTAACGAGGTGCAAAGGATCCAACAGCACCACCCACACCGCACAGTGCAAACGTCACCAGTGACAGCAGCTCTGGCCCTGCCCTGGGACCCAGGGCCACAGCGAGACCCCTGTCCTGGGGGCGGGGTCCTGTGTTTGCAAAGAGACACACAACCTAGAGACATGCCCTCCAACTGCCCTGCTTCCCTTACACGTGACAAAACAGAGGAAAACTTTCAGACAGAAGCGTCTCTCGTCTCAGTCGGGCCTCCCGATCAAAGCTGCCCACCGGGCAGGGGGAGACGCTCCCCTAGCCTGCAGTGTCAGTTCTGCACACCAAGGGCTTCACAGCTCGTTCCGCACAGCACGCCTGAGAGAGGAACTGTCCCCGCGCGAGTTCAGTTTTCTCTGTTTACATCACTTTCGCTGCATCTGGAACCCCGTTCTCACGCGGTCACCACTGAAAAACCCAGCTGCCAAGAGCTTCCCTTGACAGAACAACGTGTTTCAGGGCTCACCAGTGAGTGAGCACCTCAGACACCAACAGCGCTGCACCAACAAGGAAGCAAGACCAAGACAACAACCAGTTGCCCCAGCCCACTCTTTTATTGCTAAATATACACTAAAATTACTTCTAGACTGTATCCTAACTGAACTGTAAGAATAACTAACACTTTAAGTGAAGAATTTTAATTTTCACACGCATGAGCATCTGACCTCTGCATCACTGGAGGTGGGGAAAATACAAGGGGTTTCTTACTGACGAAACGTTCTTTGTCCTCTTCAGATGCTTCAGCACATCTTTGTCAAACCCTCTCTGGGCGGCCCGAGAAAGTGCTGCCACTTCCCAGCTATGCCTGGTCTCATCTGCCAACAAAACAAAACAAAAGCCCATTGCAAACAGCACCATTCATTTACTTGATGAACACAAGGGAATGCACTGCCATACAGACATTAAAATCCGAATTTAAATTACAATTGAAAATAAAACTCCTAGAGCGAAAAACATTAATAGTGGTTGTCTCAGTTCTAAACACCACAGTTGACTAAAAGAAACATGGCTCCTTGGAGCAGGGGCTGATACCCAAGACCAGGCAGGCGGGACCGAGGAAAGGCTGGCAAGGGGGCCGCCCAGGGGAGCGAGGCCGCTCCCACCGCTCACCCACAGGTCAGATCTGGGACAAGCCGAGCTCCAAAGTCATAGAGAGCAGGGAAGGATTAGACCTGCTGAAAAGGGAAGAAGCCACACGTCCCTACCAACATAAAGAAATAAACAGGTGAAAAAGTTATTCCTCTCGGCGGAGGGCCAACTAGGTGAGGCTGATGGTGCTAGAGAAACCACCATTTTGCCACTTTGACAGTAATAATCAATTCGGAGGAATCACCAAAGGACAATAAAATTATCACAGTGAGAGTTCCATGAGGAATAAGAACATTTACAGTGTAGCTTCCATTAAACTTTCTTAAAAAGAATCATAACCTTTTACAGAATCTACAAATACAAAAGTTTTCTTTCCAGAGCCAAAACTGGATGCCACCACCTGAGTAGCGTGTGGGGATCGTGAAGTCCCATCGGAATTAACAGCCACGCGGCCACCAGACCAGGGTGCCGAGATGCAGACTGACCCACGCCTCCCTCCTCTCTCTAATTATCTGAGCACACATGTTCAACAGACAAATCCTCTGCTGAGAACTGCGGTAATCAACTTAACTTGAAAGAAATACACATCTTTCCAATGAGCCAACTGACAGACTAAACTCAAAAAAGCAAATAAAAGTACCACGAAGATACATTCATTTACTGGCGTGAAGCCCATGTACACTTAGTGAACTACTCGAACAGCAGCACTCTTCAAAAAGTGAATCTTAAAAGCCTAAATCTACATCTGAATTTATATGCTACAGACATCGACTAGCTGGCATTTCTGTCTCTAAACAACACTTGTTACTCCTACGCCAAAGCTGACTCTTTCTTCATGAAATCTGAGTATGTCCCAAGGTGCTGTAAAAACCAGACACAGTGAGTGCAACTGTCACATACGTTTCACTTACGGTTTCCAAACCAACAGTATTTAAAGTGGACAACAAAACAATGATTCATACAGATGAACTTTCACAAACTGACACTTGACTTTCTACTGTGATGACAGAAACATGTAAGTTCTCACCAGCACCTCAGCGTCCTTCTCCAACTTTGTGCTCCAACTAACCACAATGTCCACTGCACTCCGGTCAAGCAGTTCCTGCCCCTCGCTCTACGTACTACTTTTCTTGATTTGGCCAGACGGATTTTTTTTTTAATCTTTCCCCACGCCTATTTCTCGTGTGCCAGTTCTTCTTAAGTAACATTAGCGCTTCATCAGTTATATTTGAAAACCAATAAAAATCAGGTGAGATTAGGTCAAAATATAAAATTACTATTGGATTTCCTTATAGTTTCAATCCCAGTTTGACTAATTAAACAAAAGGTTTTCTGCAAGGCAGTACGTTAGGATCTATAAGGAGTGCGAGATACTTAACGGCAGCGTTATTACCCTTGAAGATTTTATAAATCTTGGTAGGACGTAAGTGAGTAAAATAAAAAGCAGGTTTAATACCTCAGTTATACCTCCTATGTCCCAATCACACTGAAATGAACTGGGAGACCACAAAAACCCAACCAGACGTATCCTGAATGCGCCGGGCTCAAGTCACGAAGGAACAAATACACAGTCCCAGGAGTCACGCACCGCCATCCTAAGACGCATGTCACAGCTCCTCCAAACCTTACCTGATGAGGCTGAAGTTTTGAGATACCCATCAAGGCAGGGCAGAATGTCCTTATAATAGGGCTGAATCACATGTCTGCAGATGCGGCCTGACCACTCCTCTAGCGCGTTCAGGCCTACTTCCGCCAACGGGGTATGGCTCAGGCCCAGTTTAAAAGCCATCTGTATGGTAGCACAAATAAGAAATGAAACGCAGGGATTTAAGACCGTTGTCTCTAATGAGAAGTCTTTCCTCTGCCAGAACCCAGACAGGCTGGAGGACAGGTGCCTGACAGCTGGTGCCACCACACGCCCACCGCATGGGGCAGGCTGGTCCCACAGCCCGCCGCTCCAAGCACCCTGCCAGCGTCCTGTGGCAGCAGCAGACCCTGAACCAGGGAGCCTGGCAGGAGAGTGCCTGCTGTGATGGCCACAGGAGATTTCCATGCTTTCTAGGAAGGGCTTTCCGCGTGGGACGCACCCACCTGCAACGCGGGGACATAGGCTCTGATGTCGAGTTCAATGATGTTGTATGGCAGGGACAGGACAAAGGTCAAGCAGGAAGCCAGGAGTTCATCCTTGTACTGCTTCATTCTAACTGACACCTTTGCAAGAAAGGAGACAGGAGCTGAGCTGTGCACCTGAATATGGCCTGCAATTCTCAGTCTTCTCAAACACAAAAAAATAATCACGCAGCCTTATCTGACACGGCCACGTTCGTTTGAAAACGAAGTACTCATCTCAGGGAAGTTCATCTGTTGAGTTATTAACTCCCATCATGTGGAAAAGCTAAAGAATCTACTAGCTTTGAGTTGTCATCACTCGAATTATTTTGAGAAAACTCAGGGGACTTTGAAGCACAGTGATTTCCTCTATTAGTGTTTTTCAATCCCTTAATCCCCATGCGGATTAAGCAAACCAATTTTTAAGTAATTAGACCATTTATAATCACCAGGATTTTTTCCAGCATACATTCATTTTTAAATAGCCCATGATAACACTGGATAAATTTAAAATTACCTCTTTACCAAATTTTGCAAACAAAGCGAAGCAAGAACACTTTTCTGGATGCTCAGGAGACTGCTTCTGACTCTTCGGACCAACTCCCTGCCAATTAAAACAGTGAATTAGTTCAGTGAACGGTAACCAGGTAGTTCTGGGTCCTGATCCGGCAATTCCCAGCCTTCCTTCTGAGGGGACCCCACTTTCACTCTGCAGAGAGGGCCTCGAGCAGAGGGGAAGGGAAATCAGCCCTGAAAACACTTCAGGCAGAGGCCAGAGAGAAACCAGCCTGAGGTGGAAGGTGCTGGCTGATCAAAGCAGGAGCTTAAGTCCACGCCCCACTCCCCCAACCGCTCAGCACACCTGGGAGCTGAGACGCCTGCTCACTGCTCACCACCAGAGCCCCCAGGGGCCCAGGGCACAGGCCACTGAGCCTTCCAACTAGATGAGCCTGGAGAGGACATAAGACTTCCCCAGGGAGGCTGGGGATGCTGGCCCTGGCACCAGCATCTAACGCACTTAACCAAGTGCTTTTAATCAGAACAGAAAACACTTAGTTAACTTTTTAAATCATCCAATTGCCACTCACATCATCAGTTTTTAAAAATACAGGTAATAAAATAAGTAGATTTTAAAACCGCAATACGCTATACCCTCATATCTCATAATGCATGCACACACTTGTGCAAACTAAGAAATACAGGAATGTTCAACGTCTCCCCAGAAACACTCACCTCAAAATATTTTATTTTCTTGGCATTTCTCACAGCAATAGAAAGCAATTTATAGAAACCACTAATGAGCGGCAGCCGTGTGGACTGCAGAATTAATTCATGTGTAAAGGAGCACACCCACGGCCCAAAAAACTCTACATGTTTTTCAGGAAGAATCTCTCTGTAAAAACAGATTTAAAGCTTAATGTAGAAATTCTCACACTATTTTCATTCAGCTTTGAAATTATAAAGGACATAATCAAAACAAAATCATAATGGGGGGAGGGTACAGATCAGGGTTAGAGCGCGTGCTCAGCATGCACCAGGTCCTGGGTTCAATTCCCAGTCCCTGCATCTAAAAGGAAAAATCATAACCTATGAATCCATTATAGAGCATTTTCAGGTGTATCCATGTTCCTTACTTTTACTACATAAAGATCTTTTAAATACATTTTTTTAAAAAGGTAAATTTGCTACATTTAGATATTTTATACTTTCATATAAGCGATTTTATATTTAAGTCCTACTAATTCATTTCTTACATCTACACAAGTGATTTTCCCATTTTATAGCCAATAATTAATCATTTTCACTCTTAAACGAATCGAATGTTTTAAATACCTGCAAAATTCCACCAGGTTGATGAAGGCTGAGAAGTCTTTAGGTTTAGCAGGATGCAAGTTCGCTGCTGGATCTGAAGTTGGGACCACCCACACCCCAGGGGCTGCACTGCCAATCTGTGAAAGTAGTTGCACCAAAGAAACACTGCATGAGTCTCTCAGCGGGTGATCTGCGGCTCAGGGCCGGGGTTAAGAGGACGCGGCACAGAAGCGAGGAGGTGGAGACGGCCCAGCAGCACAGCGGACAAGAACAGTGGCCTGCAGACCACAGCACAGGAGAGCGAGGATGCAACACAGAGAAAGGAAGGTGCAGACACAGAAAGACGACAGGGTCACAGTTTCTCAAAGGAGCTGCAGGGACCGGATGGAGGACCTGGACACTCCAAACCAAGAAACAGGAGCAGCCACCATAATTAAGGGTGGTGGTACACGCACACCAGGGTCAGGTCTGTTTCAGACTCCGGTGGAAATGCTGACCGAGCAGTCAGGCTCGCAGCTGAAGGCGACAAGGCTCGAGTGGGGAAGGATGACACAGTGGACAGCTGACCCTCTGCAGAGGAACCAAGAATGCGCCCAGGGAGCAGGAGACACAGACGCAGGTGTGGGGCCAACAGCCCAGGTGAGACCCTCTGGGCGTGTCTGTTAATGACATGATTTTTAAGATGCATAAACAAAATGCACCCAGAGCAGCAGACCATACACCGGCGTCCGTCACCCGTGTAGACACAGGACGTGACAAGCGCAGCAGCGTGGACACGGCAAAGAACCCTCCTCTGTCCCCGCGCCCCCTTAACCGCGAGGCTGGGCAGGGCAGTGGATGACACGCACTGTCACGGACACGCAAACCCACTTCAGAGCCAGCGGACCCCAAAGCAGCCTGCGTGTCCTCCACGGAGCCCACACCCTGGCCACTCAGACCCCTCGGAGCAGACAGAGGCTCCGTGCGGCAGCCTCACGCCAGGTCTGACCGCTGTCCCGGGCCAGGAAAGCAGTGCAGAACGTCTGCGCCTCTGCCCACAGCCCCCGCCTCAAGCACAGAGCCTGGCATCTCCTTGGCCATAAACCAGAGGAGGCCCAGGTTTCCCGCCTTCCCCAAAAAGCCGCCTGTACACTAAGCAAGACCAGACCCCTGACTCTTGCTTGGGATGAGAAACAACCCTCGTGACAACTTTTCCAGAAGATTTTGCTTTAACTTATTAAACACGTAAATCACTCCTGAACAATCTAGGAGATAACGTTTTCTACACGTCAGGCTGTTCATTTGAAAAGTATCGATGACACATACTAATGCTGAAGAAACCAATTTCCTGCAGTACTTTACAAACGTGCTATTTGCCCCAAACACTGCAGCAGAGAGTTGGTATAAAGATGATGCAAATTATTATTGACAAATCTAACCTCTTGTTCCCCGACGGTCTGCTTTTCTAGCGTAAGATCCAACTTCTCAATAATCTTCAAAACTGACTTTATAAATTCATCATATAGCAAACGACTCAGACTTTGAAGGGAGGAATTCAGAGAGAGAAATGCTTCATCTGCTAAAAAAGAATCCTTTAAAAGTAAAGAAAAACAGTAAATTTCAAAATGTTGTACAAAAAAGAATCAGTATAGGTATCACGGTTCATTCAGATGCACGCGGGTACTTAACATCACGGCAACGTCTGCGCAAACCAAAGCAGCAAAATGCAGAAACCTCCCCCAACTCCCAGGACAGCGCCACCCAGACACAGCCCAGGCGCGGAACGCACACTAAGTACGCAGGAGCAGGTGAGGTGCAGGCCAGTGCTCGTCAAAGAACTCACCCCAATGAGCGTGTGTGTCTGCGCGTACACACGTCTGTGTGCAACACACGGACGTATGCTGAAGCTTGTGCAAATGCACATGCGTGCACACGTGCACAACCACACACGCACATACACATGGGTAAGTGTCCATCCATCCTCAGAATGGATTTAAAAGTACTAAATCTATTATTTAAAAGTAAAATACTCTACTGTTCCAAAAACAAAGCCCTCGTATCTAATAACACATGTAAGAAAGAAATACTTTGGGTAAACCATTAACATTGCTCTACCATTCTACCTCAGTAAAAAAAACTCCTGCAATTTTCACAGGACAGGACGTCTGATTTGCTGACAACGTGCTTCTCCTGGGCATCACTCCTTGGTCATGACCTGGCCCACAGCAGGTGCACCTGGAGGCAGGAGCCGCACTCTCGCTCCAGGGAACAGTCGCTGCGCACCAGCCCCTGCACGCCCATCAGCCAGCTGGCTTCTCTCTAACCGGTACAGAGAGCGCAGCTCCCCCATGGTGGTCAGGCTGCCCCGCTGCTGCCACCCCCCAGGCTGGCCTGTCAGAAAGACAACTCAGCATCAGCTGCTTCTTAAGCTAAAATAAGGACTCAGCCACAGGAATTAATTTTAAGTAGGTGCTATGATTTTGTTCCTTTTAATTGCTTTTTTCCAGTCTCACTTTATCCTAACTTAATGCTGTTTGAATTTTTCATTACATGAAGCTCTTTAAAAAAAAAAACAAACCACTGGAAGTTAGTAACACGTACTTCTGAAAGAGTTGAGTCTGCAAAGTGCACGACTATGGAGACCAGCAAAGAGGGGCCAGGGCACCTCTCTGGCTTTACAACTGTCATTTTTACCGTCATCTGGTCACAGCTCAGGAGACTTCTAACAAGGCCCACGTAGTCCTTGCACATGGACACTTTCCACTTGCCAGTTCTAACTTCCCCCGATGCACGGTCACCTTCAGACTCAAGCTCAGCACCCTGGTGGGAAGACAGACACCCAAGCTGACGGCGGGGCTCTGATTTTCAGAGTTCTCCGCGCTACAACAGCCACCGGCCAGGGACTTCAACTTGACTGAGTAAGGAAGGCAGCACATCATGAAGGCACACTGAACAAGCTGGAAAAGAGTCATGATTTCCTACCCTGGGCTAACACGTACTAAACGCTGCCCAAGGCGTGTGCTGTAAAACCAGCCTCACTTCCTCACACAGAACTGTCTCATCCTATTTCCTGCCACTTCAAGTACCTAAGACTTGCCTCTCATCATGTGCCTAAGCATACAGTCCTCGACTTTCAAGAGGAAATCTTCCTTTTTATGAAAGTGTGTCTGTAATAGTACGGTTATGTTTAAGGATGTTTCAACAAGTAGAAGTTTATTCACTTGAAAAAGTTCATAGATACGACGTCCTACACGCTTCAAAATGTAAAGCACAGCTGACAGACAAAAGGGCTACTTCTGCATGTTCACAAACAGCGAAGTCCAACATCTCCAACCTTCAAGACAGCAAAAGACTAATTTTCAAATCATAGGTTCAGTTTACCTTTTGAAGGATCACAGGTTTAGAGCATATTCTGATTAAACCCTGATGCACTAAAAAAAAGAAAATAGAAACAAAGTGAAACACTGAAAAATACAACCACTCAACAAAATTGAGTCATTTTTAAAATTTAACTTACTTCTCAATTTTCTCCTACATTTGTTAATATCTGTAGTTTTAAATTTTAGACTGTTAGGATTCAAAACCAAAAGGCAGAGAAAAAACTTTTTTTGAAAAGGACAGAAATGGAGATCTTGGTCCACCAAAATATTAGGAGTCCTCCAAGAGGCATCAAAAGATACAAAAGAATTTGACAACCAGATGTTTTTTATCTATATCACACAATATGTTACGTATTCATCATTCATCACCATAAAAACAAGAATGCATTCCAAACTTACCCATAGTGCTAATGCAATTCCAGAGAACGGGTCCTTTCTCTGCTAAGGCCAGGAAAACTTTCACTATGGCTTTGCAGCACACCGACTGCATCTTTGGACTATACTGTGGGAAGCTGTCTATCTGCACGACCACGAGATGTTCCAGAACAGGGATATGGACCTCAGGAACCTACCAGAAATGAATGCAGACTAGCCGTCAGAGGAGGGGATAAAAACAGGGGCGAGACAAACAGGGTCAAAATAACACAACTAGACACACATCAGAGAAATGATAAACCTGGCTGATGATCTAATCCACTGGTATTAGCTTAACATTCATTGTTGTGATTGCCTAAAAAAATCAGAGTAAAACTGAATGATACTTTGGGTGCAATTCTATCCCAAGCAGCAATCAATCTTTTAGAAAGATTTTAAAAAGTAACAAACAATTATTCCTGCTTTGGGAACAAGAAGTAAAGTTTCATGACAAAAACTGTACCAATACAAAATACTAATGAAAATTGTCACCAGTGAAGCCTGAAATGAAGGCATGTAACTGCCCTGCGCCTCACACTGTCTGAGAGGCTGAGATGGAGGAGTTAACACTGTCCTCCTTGAGCGAACTCCCTCACTCACTGTGTCAAGGTGACGCAGGACGCTGGCGACGGACTGCAGGAAACTGGGCATCTGGTACACGTGGTCCTCAGCAGTCTCCGCCTCGGTGAGGAACAGCTGCTTGCAGCGCTGAATGAGCTCCACGTACATGAAGTCAACATCCTGTGCATTTACAGCCTTGCACGGCTTTAGGAAACGGAAAACAACCATGCTGACCGATTTCACCAACATCAAGTAATGATACTTAAGGTGTGTTAAGCCACATTATCATAAACTAAACATCAACAAGCTTTTTAATGGTGAAAAAATACAGTGCATCTTATAAAGATGCTTTGAAAATAACCTATAAATACATTCTAAATATTTAACAGTACACAAAACATCTGGAGATCATCACCAGAACTCTAGGCACCGGGCGGACGGAAGTGATCAGACAAATGAGGCGCAGTCCCTGCCGCGGGAGGCCGGTCGCCCAGAGAAGGGACAGGCCACCACACCACGTGGCATCAGCACCCAGAGCCACCTTCCTAACTCACAGATCTGGCTGTACCACCCACTGCCCAGCTGCAGGTGTCCAGAGGCTGCTTCAGACTTCAAGTCTAGTCCAGTCTCCTCGAGGCTCTGGCTCCTTTATCTCTTTAGAGTCTTCTCCCTTCCTCCTTGTCCACCACACTCCAGCCTCCTAAGTCGTGCACACACCTACCTGAGCCCCGTGCTCACACCTAACTACTGCGAACATGTCCATGGTGGTTAGACCACAGGTATGAAGCTGGGAACTCCTGCTCTCGGTTTCCTCTGAGTCCCCTCACATACCATTTCCTCTGCCCTCAGTATGCTGAAAGGAGCAGCAGAGAGAAATGGAGAGGAAGCATTTCTAAAAAGGGGAAAGGACTGTTTGGAAGGAAATGAGGATGTGTCAGGGTGGAACACATAGGGGTGAGCAGCTGGGAACAGACCTGCTCCCTCACACGTGGGGGTGGCACTGTGGGGGAGCCCTGCACACACACGGAGCAAGGGGCTCGTCGAGCACAAGTCATCGAGATCCACCCCGAGGGAGGCAACGTCTCTTCTCAACTTCCCTGAACGGCCCTGTCGGTCGTCAGGACCCTGGCTAAGGTGGCACATTTCCTCAACCACAAGTTCCCTCCACAGGTGGCAGGCAGGGCCGCACAGTAGGGAAACATGGCATTTCTACCCTACACGTTGGGGTTCTGTCTCGTTCTGTCCATTGTAACTGTGTGTCTTTTCACGAGTTACCCAATGTCTCTGGGCCTCGGTTTCTTCATCTGTAAAGTGGACTGAGATCCCTAAAGCCTGCAGGAGAGCTTGTGTACTTGAGGTAACGCCTACGCACGACCCCAGGACACAGCGAGCACTGAGAGAACCACCCAGCACACAGCAAATAAGAAGAGCATCGTCACAAGAGTCAGACGCTGCTCAAAACCAGGGAACCGGATCCCCTTAGCCCTCCGGCGGAACCCCTACCCCGCGCCTACCCCCGCGAACAGTCCGTAGCCGCGGATGGCGATGGACAAGTCCTTGCTGCTGGCGTCCGTGTTCCTGATGACCCCGCAGAACTGCTCCATGAAGAACTGCAGCTCCCTCCTGTGTGCCTCTGCGTCGCCGGCCACCACGGAGGAAACCTGCCATCACACAGTGTTTAGAGACGTTTACAGGAAGCAGAGGGATCTGTACAAACGTGACAGGGCTGGAACTGCGGTCAGACACTGCCAGCGCAATGCCGCAGCTCCACGCAGCTTCTACTCCTAAGTGTGCTTAGTCTCCACCAGGCTCAGAGGAGGCACTGTCATTGCACGTGACACATCCTTCCTAGAGCAGGGGCGGAAAGGGGCCATGTAAACGCAGCAAGACGCAGGCACAGGACAGGGGCTCCAGGTTATGGCCCTGACGAAGCAGAATGCATCCCCAGACTCATCTGTGACTCACGGGCAGGCCCACAGCTAGCGAGGTCAGAGTCACCAACAGATCAGGCCCCTTGCAGGACAACAGAGAACAGGGTTCCTCCGAACTCACAATCAGGAAGAAAGACAAGGCATTTCATTTCTCAAAATAAGGTACAAACTATAAAGTCTAGATGATGTGAGGCAGGGAAAGCAGCACTGAGGTGCAGGTCACCACGACTCACCACACAAAGCGACAGCCGCCCAATGCGAGGCTACCGCGGGCATCTGAAAGCACTGCTAATTTACGCAGAGACTGCCGGAGACGAGAACGGACAGAAGCCTGGTAATCGTGAAAGGCTGGAAGAAGACGTCCACTTTGCATCGCCAACCAGCAGCACACGCCCTGACCCACACAAAGCCCCGTGTCCTCCCAAAACTTTTAGACAAGGATGGGTCCCCCAACCGCATAAAGAACACTCACAGCTTGGTAACAAAGGCACACAATCTGATTCTGAAACCAGCAGAACATCAGTGCAAACACTCCACAAAACAAGACCCAAGAATGGAAAACAACTGCAGGGAAAGAAACTGCCAGCAGTCCCCTCGGACACTCGAATCAGAAGCACAGGGGGGTGACGCTGGGCACCCATCGCAGGGCTACAATCAAGGGCGGACACCACCAGGTGCTGCCAAGACGTGGGGCGACTGGGACTCGCAGTGGGAAAGAAACACGGTACAGCCAGCTCAAAAGAGGGCTCAGCGGTTTCTCATGAAGTTCAGCAAGCACCCACCGTGCGACCCTGCAGTTCTGCTCCCAGAGAAACGAAGACAGGTGTCCACGGAAGAACCTGGGAATGAACATTCTCAGCCCGACAGACGAGCGGAGAGCACCCCGGCCGTGGGACAAGTGGGCTGGATCTCCAAGGACCAGCCCGTGAACCAACCACCGTCCCTAACACTGTGATTCAGGCGTTCCATCAGAGCCAACCCAGAGAGCCGAACTCCCACCACTACCTGACCTGCAGGCCTCTCCGGCCACCTCGGGCGCTCAGGACCAGCACACGCTCCTTGGCTGCCACAGATGCACTGCCAAGCCAACTCACCCTCCGCACCCACGTTCCACCTGGACGGAAATGCCGGCACAGGTGGAGCCTCCTCCATCTAGAAGCAGTGGAGACACCAGTATCTTGCCTCAACGCCCGCCAAGCGGGCTGCCCTGACCTCCCCCCGGCCTTCTCACTGCCACTCCTGTCCAGCCTCGGCTCTAAGGCCCTGTTGAGGTCTGGCATCCGAGCTCTCCTCCAGACCGGCGGCCACCCATGCGGCTGACGGAGGGCCAAGCTTTCTTCTTTATGGAAGCTAATGGAGCAACTTGTATTTATTTTTCAACGTGCACGCACAAGACTGGAATTTAAATTTTTTGCATAGGAAGATTTTAAAAAGTACCTGTTTCAGAAAAGATTCCAGAGCTGAATGCGCAGCTTTCTTCAGTTCGGCGTTGGTGTGACTGCACCACTTGGACAGGACTTCAAACATGGAAGCACAGTGCTCCAAGAGGCAGGTGCTGAACTGAGACGCGTGCAGGGCAAGCAAGCCCAGGCCAGCTGCAAACACAGAGCACCCCGCTGACAGCAGGACGACTCAGAGCCCAGGCAGCTCCTCATCACTGCGGCCTGATGACCAGGGCTCCTTCCCAACCTGACGCCCCACCCTCCTCGTGACACGGCTGGCCAGTGACCCCACAACAAGGGTCAGCGGCAGGATCAGGGCTTGTTTAGATGAAACCAGAATCAAACAATCTGGACCCCCCAAAAGTTGCTCTGAAGTAATTTTTTTTGAAATTTTTGAAGTAAGTGTGAGCATCTCCACCAGCACCCAAGAGCTCTGGTCAGCGTCTGCAGGGGAACATCACACGTGTCACCCACTGACTTTCACCTGGAGTTTAAGCAAAAGTTGACTCAAGGCCTCAACTTAATAATCTGAAATATACCACCTCATTAAGCACAGAGTCTTACCCAAAGGCACCGCGTATCTCTTCAGATCAATCTATTAAAAAAAAATTTACCATCAATGTTTGACAATCACAAGCCTCAAGTGTGAAAGAATTAGAAGAATATGAATCCTACCTGAGGACGGATTGCCTTTACAGCAAAATCAAAAATCTCCCTCGAAGTCTGGGGATCTGGGGAGACACAGAAAGAGCAGCTGTCACAGGTCACGACTGGATCACCGGACAAACCTCAGGAAGTGCTCAGGGCAAGCCGCCAGCGTGGCACCCTCCTCCCGTCTTCACTGACCGACCCTTCCACGAGAGGTGCCTCTGTCAGGCGGGACGCGGGGCTCTGTCTCTGTGGACCCAAAACAGCCGGCACTCATACACGGCAGCCCCGGAGCCCCGCCCGTCCTGGCGGGCGCCCTCAGCAGGCTCCAGAGCCCCTCCAAAGGGACCTCCTGCCGTGTCAGACACCTCCAGCCAGCACCAGTGTGGCCCCAGAGTGGCTCCTCCCACCAAGGGCTGACCCCGCATAGCAGAGCACTGGCACAGCGGTCAGCAGGCCTTGGAGCAACCACACACACACACGGTGCATGAAAAGCAATGCGGCCAGCCACAATCGGAGGACACGTGCAGCCCACAGGGGACACTGCTGGAGCACCCGGCTCTGGTGACTGGGCTGCACCGGGGGGCCCACAGGACACCTGCCACACAGAGACTGATGCGCAGCCAACCTACTAAATTCACACAGACACAGAGAAGCAGGCAAGGCGAGGAGACCAAGGAGTATGTCCTAAAAAAGGACTGATCACACAGACGAGCGATCTTCCAGGAAGGAGTTTCAAAGTGACGGTCATAAAAATGCTCACTGAACTCAGCAGAAGAATGCAGGAACACAGGAGGAATTTCAACAAAGAGGTAACAGTCATACGATCATCTCAAAAGATGCACAAAAATCTTTTAACAAAATTCAACACCCATTTATGATAAAAACTCTCAATACAGTGGGTACAGCGGGGACACACCTCAACATAGCAAAGGCCACAAGTGACAGACCACAGCCAGTATCACATTCAACAGTGAGAAGCTGGAAGTATTTCCTCTAAGATCAGGAAGCAGGAACGCCCACTCTCGCCACTTTTATTCAGCATGGCCCTGGACGTTCCAGCCACAACAGTTAGACAAGAAAAAGAAACAAGAATCCCAAATTGGAAAAGAAGGAGTAAAACTGTCAGTGTTTACAGATGACATAACACTATTTACAGAAAATCCTAGAGACCACACCAAAAAACTATTACAACAAATGCACTTAGTAAAGTTGCACGATACAGAATTAATACATACAAAGCTGAAGTTACACTATGCATTGACAGTGAACTATCAGGAAGAAAAACTAAGAAAATCTCATTTACAACTGCATCTGAAAGAATAAAATAATTAAGAATAATTAAACCAAGGAGGTGAAAGAGCTATATCCTGAAGACTCTAAGACATCAATGAAACAAACTGAAGAAGAATAAACGGAAGATATACTGTGTATAGAAAGAACTAATTTTGAGAAAATGTCCATATGCCCCAAAGCAACTCACAGATTTAATGCCATCCCTATCAAAACACCCATGGCCCTTTCCACAGAACTGGAACAGGTTATCATGAACTTTGTACGGAAACACAAAAAGCTCCAGGTTGCCAAACAACCTTTGAGGAAGAAGAACAAAGCTGGAGACACGATCCCCGGTTTCACACTGCACTGCAGAGCTACAGAAGTCAAAGCAGTGTGGGACCAGCACACGAGAGACGGGGCCAGGGGAGCGGCACAGCGAGGCCAGAGACCAATCCTCACACAGTCCTCAGCCTCTGCCAAAGGAGGCAGGAGTGTACAGCGGAGGAAAATGGCCTCTTCGATACACGGTGTAGGGGAACCCGGGCACACATGCAGAAGAACCAAACTGGGCTACTTTCTCACGTCACGTGCAGACATAAACTCAGAGGAGGAAAGACTTCAACGTAAAACCTAAAACCACAGAACTCCTGGGAGGAAACAGATGTAGCACACTCTCTGGCATTGGTCTCAGCAATATTTTTGTGGATCTGTCACTTCAAGAGGGGATGACAAAAGCAAAAATAAACAAACAGAACCATTCAAACCGAAAGGCCTCTCCGTGGCAAAAAGAGCCATGAACGAAATTAAAAGGCTGCCTCGTGAATGGAAAAAAAAATTTGCAAATGATATATCCAATGAGGGGTTAACATCCAAAGTGTACAATGAACTCATACAACTCAAAATCAAAAACACAAATATCCCATCTAAAAAAAGGGGGCAGGGGAATTCTCTAACACCACCTACAAAAATAAACTCAAAATGGCTAAAAGACCTAAGTGCAAGACCGGATGCGGTAAAACTTCCAGAGGAAAACACAGGCAAACACTCTGACATAAATCACAGCAGTATTTTTTTGGACCCATCTCCTAGAGTAATGGGAACAAAAGCTAAAATAGACAAATGGGTCTTAATTAAACTTAAAAGCTTTTGCACAGCAAAGGAAACCATAAACAAAACGAAAAGACAACCTACAGAATAGGAGAAAGTATTTGCAAATGATATGACCAACAAGGGATTAATTTCCAAAATATACAAACAAGCTCATACAACTAAAAACAAGCCCAATCAAAAAATGGGCAAAAGACTTTGAAGAGACATCTCTCCAAAGAAGACATCCAGATGGCCAGCAGCACATGACGCTCAACATCAGCAATTACTAGAGAAACGCCAATCAAAACTACAACGTGGTAATCCCACAAGGGCGAGAACGGCCACCATTAAAAAGTCCACAAATAAGCAATGCTGGGGAGGATGTGGGAAAAAAGGAACCCTTTCACAGCAATGGTGGGAATGTAAACTGGCGCAGCCATTATGGAAACTATGGAGGCTCCTTAATAAACTGAAAATAGACTTCCCATATGATCCAGCAGTCCCACCCCTAGGCCTGCATCTGGAAGAAACTCTAATTCAAAAAGACACCTGCACCCCAATGTTCACAGCAGCACTATTTACAGTAGCCAAGACACGGAAGCAGTCTAAATGTCCATCAACAGATGACTGGATAAAGAAGCCATGGTATATTTATACAATGGAATATTACTCAGCCATAAAGAAGAATGAGATAATGCCATTTGAAGCAACATGGATGGACCTAGAGATCGTCATTCTAAGTGAAGTAAACCAGACAGAGAAAGGCAAATATCAAACTTATGGTTACCAAAGGGGAAAGGGTGTTGGGGGATAAGCCAGGAATTTGGGATCAGCAGATACACACTACTATGTGTAAAACAGATAAACAGACGAACCCAAAGGACCTACTTGCATAGCACAAGGAACTATATTCAGTATCTTGTAATAACCTATAATGGAAAAGAGTATGAAAAACAAAATATACATGTGTATAAATGAATACTTTGCTATATACCTGAAACTAACACAACTATACAATTAAAACAAGAAACTCACTTAGGAAAGCATGGGCAGGGATCTGAACAGACATTTTTCCAAAGACGTGTGGATGACCAACAGACCACGAACAGGTGCTCAACATCACTACTCATTAGGGAAACGCGTATCAAAACCACATGGGCTATCACCTCACACTTGTCAGAACAGTGTCATCAGAAAGACAACAAATAACAAGTGCTGGTGAGGACGTGGGGGAAAGGGATCCTCCTGCGCCACTGGTGGGAATGTAAATTGGTGCAGCCACCATGGAAAAGTGTGGTGGTTCCTCAGAAAACTAAAAGTAGAGCTGCCATACAATCCAGCAATCCATTTCTGGAATATTTACCCAAAGAAAATGAAACAGCTCATCAGAAGAGATACATGCACCCTTGTGTTCACAGTAGCATCATTTATAGCAGCCAAGATGTGGAAGCAAACTAAGTGCCCACAGATAGATGAATGGATAAAAGATGTGATTATATTACGTACACGTATTTACAGAAACTGTACTTAACCATAAGAAAGAATGAGGTCTTGCCATACGCTAAGTGACGTTAGTTACAGAAAGACAAATACCACTCCATCTCACTTACATGTGGCATCTGAAATACAAATGAATAAACGTAACAAAGCAGAGAGAGACTCACAGATACACAGAGCCGACAGGCGGCTGCCAGAGGGAAGGGAGGGGCGGGGGGGGAAGAGCAAAACAGGTGAGGGAGATAAAAGAGGTACAAACTTCTAGTTATAAGGTGTCACAAAAATTCTGAAATATTAAAAAATTAAAGCTAAAATAAATTTTAAAAAAAGAAAGTCAGTCAGTGACACGGATGTAACGCACAGCACGGGGAATACCGTCATTACATCGTAGTAACTTTGTACGGTGACAGGTAGTTACCGGATGTCCTATGACCCCTCCGGCAGGTGTTTCAATGTCAGATCTATGCTGTACACCTGGCACTGGCACAGTATTGTACTGCAGCTATACCTCAACTTACAAAGTAGGAGTGACAAAGTCCAGGTGTCATTGGGTGTGCTCCCTTCTGGGGGCCTGAGTCCAGTGGTGACCCAACTCCCGGGCCGCGCCCTACCCCATCCTCAAAGCTGGCTTCCTCATATCACAGCACTCTGCCTCCCTCATCCCCGTTAAGTCCCCCATGATCACACTGGGCCACCTGGATAACCTCACATCAAAGTCAGCTGAGGAGCATCCTTCACCCCACCTGCACCTTGGCTGCCCTGGCTTCTCAACGCACCACCGCGGAATCCTCTGCGATGGTTTACTGAGTCGTGCGTCGACTCTGCAGGATGTTACTCAATCACTTTGGGTTTGCTTTATTTTATTTCCCGTGTATACGTGTTTCGGTGTCCTATATATTGCAGTAGGTGTGAAGATAGTATTTTAAATATTTGTACGAGTTTAATTCAACTCCAATTGTTCTCTGTATATAACTGCATTTCTATACAATAATAAAAAGTTCTTATAAAAAAAATGACACAACACATGCACAGGCACTGAGGTTAGAATGAGGATGTCTTTGGAGTCATTATTCCGTCCATCTCATTACCCGAGTGACTTGGGGCAACTTACTATTCTTAGTTCTAGCTTTCCAACCTGTAGCACAAAGCTATTATCACCTACCTTAGAGAGTCATTACAGGCATTTCCGTGCAATGTGAATAGAATAGTCTTCCGCACACGGTAAATGAGCAGTAAGTGTTACTACTTTTCTTGCTCACCGAACGTGAACCAGGTGTGCTACTCAGAGCAAAGACGCAGAAACAAGCAGCATCACCCAGCAGCCCAGTCAGGGCACAGAGAGGAAAATCAGAGCACGTGGCGGCAAGGGCTGCAACAGCGGGGACACAGAAGCCAGAGGAAGTCACCAGCAGAGGGGCGGCATCAAGGGGTCACAGACAGGAGAGCTTTTTGCAAGTGAGGTAGAATCTCAGACCCCCTTCCCACACCCCCCAAAAAGCCAAAATACCAGGAGGTCTCTGAGCAGGAACCTAACAGAAGGGAAACTGGCCAAGGATACGGGAGACATCAGAGAGCAGCTAGAAGGCAACCAGGTGGAGCTGCCCCAGTGCTCCTGGTGAGAGACAGCAATGAAGGGGTGAGTGCAAACAGGCTGAAACACCTGAAACTGCTCTTTTCACAGGTTGAAATCATTGGATATTGGCAATTTCTTAAGTTTCAACGTAGTAAAAGCAAACACATACAGGAGATAGAAAAAATTGGCAATTACTTGAACAAAAATGGTAAGAAAGAGCCAACAGAAATTTTTTTCTCTTGAAGAATATTTTGGGGTTACAAGTTTTATTTGCCTTTAAAAAAGAATTGAAGCTCCTAATGCTTATAACGCTGTCATAACTAGAATACATAAAGAACTCCTACAGCTCAACAACTGAAAGTCAGATGCCTGAAGTCAGCAAAGAACTTGAATCAACATCTCTCCAGAAAAGACCCACAGTAAGCAGGAGGCCATGCAAAGACACTCAACAGCAGCAGCCGTAAGGGAAACGGAGAGCAGACCAGAGACCCCGCTGCACCCCCGTCAGGGTGGCTGTTATAGAAAACGGAAATGACAAGTCATGGTGAGGAGGTGGGGAGCATGTGCACTGCTGGCGGGAGTGTAAGTTCGTGCAGCCCTGTGGGCCACCTTATGGCGATTACTCAAAAAACTAAACAGAACTACCACAAGGTCCAGAAATCCAACTTCTGGGTATATACGCCCCCAAACAAAGCCAGGGACTGCAGACACATGCACAGCCATTTTCCAACAGCATTATTCACAGCAGTCAAGAAGCAGAAGCGACCCAAGTGTCCACTGGTGGGTGAGTGGATACACGTATAACCTTGCAATGATCAAGTTCAAGATGGACACGGGTCAGTAGTGGCCGAGGCAGGAGCGGGAGGCGGCGGCAGCGGCTGTGGCTATGAAACAGCAGCAGGAAGGGTCCTCACAGTGGCGGGCGGTTCGGAATCTTGACTGTGGTGGCGCACACACAAACCCACACATGGAAACACTACACAGAACTAAACACAAACACACATGGTTGTGCCCATGAAACTAGAGGAATCCAAGTCCACAGATTTCCTCAGGCTGTGCTGTGGCACCACAGTCACGGAAAGCACCGTCAGCAGGGGAAACACATACGCAATCTCCCTATTATTTCTTACAACCCCATGAGAATCCACAACTGGTTTAAAAGTTCAAAAAAACAAACAGGTAATGCGTTTTGACTATCAGTTTTTGAATAAAGAAAGAAACTCAAGTGCTGTCAGGCACTACCTTCTTCCATGGACTTGGTGAAGTTGCACATGAGTGAAGACAGCCCCTTCAGACACCCGGCCACAACAGCGAGTCTGGGCTCCCTCACTGCTGATGTCATCTGAAAGGGGAGTTCGAAGAAGACTTCATTAAGAGAGAAAAATACACCAAACACACGTAAGCGGAGGAGAATGTCGTAAAGTTTCTCATACCTGGACCTTAAGTTCACCCAGAAAAGCCCGGAAGAGTGTATCTGAATTATTTATCATCTCACTTGGATGAACTTCACCTAATACTCCTAGGAGCTCATATATTTTTTCTAAAACTGAAAGATAAATTGTAGACAAATTAAGGCCTAAAATTACATTTAGATAAATTAAATGAACAAAAATGCATGAATAAGAAAATGAGAGGTTTAGTTCAAAATAGTTTCATAATGAGGCTTACAAAATACCTAGTTTTACACACTTTCCTAATTGTTTATGCAATTACTATAAATTACATTTGACATGTGTTGTGAATTTTCTATTTAAAGAAATCATTTTGCAAAGATTAAAATTTTTATAAGCAGAAGTCTTCACACACTGTGTTTTGTTTTCCTTAGGAGAAAAACCTAAGTTTTCCATGAATAAGTTCTTAATTTGTTAAAATGTTAAGTAACATTTAAAACACCTCACCTGTATCTGTGATTTTTGCTTTCAGTGCAAGTTCTCCATAGAATCTGCTAAATAACTCTCCAACTCTAAATTCATCCATGAGTCTAGAACTTCTCAAAGTCTGAAGTAACTAGAAGAATACAAGTTAGCATCGTCTAAAGAAGTAACAAAAGGCTTCCGTCTACTGCACTGTTTGCTTACAGCAACGCTCCACAACCACGTGTCTCCAGGGCATTCACACCTGGCCTCTCAGGACTCCTACCGAGCCAGATTGTTTGGGAGGTGGAGGGAAAACCGGGCTTTCAGAGGGGAAGAGGATATAGACTTAATTTCACCTTCCCAAGAAAACAGTAACACGACCAGAACCATTCTCTTAGAGGCACTTAAGGACCAACAAGACCCAAAGGAATTCTAAAATAGAGACACAAAAAAAGAGATGCAGCTAAGAGAGCGACACAGGTGGGAGTGAGCCCCACCGACCACTTAAACACAGCACACAGATCCGTTCCTGTGGGAGGCTTTGGGAGCGCAGTTCCTAGAAGCATCAGGACCGAAGGGTCTGGGTCGTGAAAGCCCACTCCTCACTCCCCTCTCTACTCCCCTCCCCATCATTCCCGCATGGCCCCCAGTTCTCCCTCTGCCTCCCAAAAGGTCTGAGGGCAAAATGGTGATGGCGGGGAAGTGTGCATCTTATCCTGACAGCAGTGTGATCTGAGCCCACCCTACATCTCACCCAAAACATAACCCAAAAGGCGTTTAAGTTACACGTTTCATGTAAAATACATGCACTTAGAAGTAGTTTTAAATTACCTTAATAAGAAGGTCCAGGGCTGGAATTTTACATTTAGCAGCTTTATCTTTTGTGTAAACACTGGTGCAAGTATTCTAGATTTTAAAAGGAGACATACCAAAATCATCAGTAAGAATTTGGCTCTTTTATAATCAACAATAGCGAAAACTACATCTGAAAGGAGCAGTACCAGCATAGGACATAATACAATGTAAGTTTCTTACAAGGCACTCAGCTTAGTAAACTGAAAAAAAAAAAATACATACTCCACTTCATTTCTAACAGTCAAGCAGAAATAAGTAAACTGCCCAACAAGAGAGGCAGAAATAAAATGAAAAGCCAAGCTTAAAGTCTGAACACCATAAGCTAAAATGGCTATTTATATACAATGTTTTCTCATCCTTACCTTAATATCAAGAGAATAAGGTGTGACATTCTGGCCAATTTTTTCTAAGAAAATAAATAAAAACTTTAGAGCTTCTTCTCTGCAATCACGAAACTATAATAAAGAAAACAAACATTATAGTAAATGTGAGTAAGAATACAAATCACATCAACATGAAGAAATACACAAGAAAAATAAAATGAAAATCTTCAACTTACTTCATCAATGCTAAGTGATTTCCGAACAAATACAAGCAAACCAAAATCTTTGGAGAACACTAAGGAAGTCTGTAATGCTGGAGTAAAAACAAACCAAAAAAACAAATAAGAGAGCTGCAAAGAAGTACTCCACACACCCCTCAAAGGTGTTCCCTGTTCTCAATTTAGTCTTATTAGTGATAAAACACTAGCCTAAGGCTTCTGTATTTCCACGAGGTAAAAGGAAATTCTAGATGTTCCACAGGAACAAGGTAGGCAGAATAACGGCCCCAAAGACACCAGAGCCCTAACTCCTGGTGCCACGGCTGTGCATATAAGAACTTTACGTGGTAGCTGAAAATTAAGGTTGCTAATCAGCTGACCTCAAACTGGGGAGATCGTCCTGGGTCACCTGCTGTGCCCAGTGCAACTGCATGGGCCCTCACCAGCGGACGAGGGAGGAAGAAGAGATGAGAACACAGGAGAGGACAGATTCCAAGCGTGTTACTGGACCCACTGCTGCTGGCTTTGAAGATGGAGGCAGGGGACCGTAATCCAAAAATTGTGGTTGTCTTCTAGAAGCACAGAACGCCAGCAAGGAAAAGAGAGGCCCTCAGTCCCACAACTGCAAGGAACTGAATTCTGCTAATTTGAATGAAAAAGATGAATTCTCCGCCAGAGCCTTCAGAAAAAGGAAGGCGGCCCTGCCTGCTACCTGGTATTTAGGTTGATGAGACCTGTGTTGGGCTTCCAACTACAGAACTGAGAGATTGACAAACCTGTGTTGCTTTAAACGCTAAGCTTGTGGTATTTGTTTCAGCAGCAATAGGAAACTAACACAGTCCTGTAATTCTCTCAAGTGAAAGTACACATATCAAATATTCAGGGACCGTGAAACTGCTTGACAAACAAGTTACTAAAAGAACAAAGTGGAATTCTAACTTAGAACTCAGACTAGGAAGCATTTACATAATGTTGCTGATTTTTAATTTCCCTATTAATACACCCTTGACAACACATAGATCCTACACAACACTTAAGGTTTTGCTTACATTATTTCTTCACCTTATTCAACAATGATCTCTTGGGGGGAAAAAACTCACCTATCTTTTAATTAAGGGACATACCATGGAGAAGGGCTGCATATTTGTGGTTTTGAAAGGGAACAACAGAATCTTCACACAGTAATATACGTAAAAAGTCCTGAAGAGAGGCAGTTTTACTGCAAGCAGAAAAGACGTTCTCACCCAGGCATTGCTACAAAGCTTAAATAACGGCACGACTTGCTTCTCAAAAGTAGGGAGAGCAAACAAAGGGGCTTGGAAAAGGTACTGGTAGGTCAGGGCGAGACTGAAATGGAAGGAAATACTTTTTTCCTCTTGTCCTCCCTCCTCGCCGTGGATAGCAATGACAGCCAAACTTAGGCCATTTTTACCACCTTTGGTTTTAAAATACCCTTCCTCTGCCATTAAGAAAAGAGGCAGCTAACAAGTCACTTTTACACGCTTCACAGAAATTCCGACGATCCAGTTCAAACACCGCCCAAGGCGCCCACGCCGCACAAGCGCCGGCTACCCTGCTCTGGACCTCAGAAGCCCGGAACCGTACCCACCCAGCAGCGCGGGGCTGGAGCTCAGCAAGCACTCCTGCCCCAAGCCCCGCAGCAGCTGCCAACCGGCCACCGCGGCGCTGCTGCGGTCGGCGGCGGACAAGAACTCCTGCAGCTGCAGCAAGGAGTCCCGTACGCCGGACCTCACATCCGCCATGACGCCCGCCGCAACCCGCGCCTGCGCACAC